ACCTAAAAATGTACAGCCAATTTTGAAAGAGATGTACCCTAGCTCAGAAAAATGTTATTGAATAGGTTAATGCTGTTGTAATGAAAGGCTTCTTCTAATTGAAAAAAAAAAAAAAAAAAAGAATAGGCCATGTCAAAGGTTTACTCCTGGGCTAAAAGCTAGCTGTTTACTATGCTTTTAGCCCTAAGAAAGAAAACACTGTGGCTAATATATTACCAGATAGGCACTTTTACCCTTGAGTAAAAGTTTAAACATCCTACTTTACAAACATCCCACAGCTAGTGCCAACTAAAAGCTGTATGTCCTGTTTCTTTGTGCCCTACATCTTTGTATGTAACTGCCAAACCCCACATGACTTCCAGTTCCTTGTAATGTATAAAAACCTTCTGAATTTTTTAATAAATGGCTTGTTGTAAAGGAAAGCACAAGTCCCAGAGTCCACCAGTCAGTATTGCAGTCACTGAAGCTAAGTTCCCAGATGAGCAAGGCAGACTTGGGTCTCTACGCTTTGTGCACAGGTAGCAAATTATACCATCATTTTCTTTTCTGGAGTTTTGGATTGGCAATGCTATAGTGTCCTTCCAACTCTGTAAACCACAATTCTGAAGATGGTCCTACTTGGCTCATATTCATTTATTCTGAGTCAACCATAACGGGATTAAAAAAACATTTCAAAGAGGAGTAAGTCTCAACTCTCCTCAGGTGCTTTGGCAAGTCACGACCTTCTATATTCTTATCATTATTACCACTTATTAGTCCCTCATAATGTGATTATGTTGTCTTTACATTGTTACTAAGGTTAGAGACAGTAAACATATACATGCATATGTATTCTAAATGTGTAAAGCGTGATGCAAATATTCATTGTTAATATCTGCATGACCTCATAAATGCATCTTGTTCCTATATCAGTTAACAACATAATAGGGATTTGATATTTTCTCAAATAAAGAGTACCAAATCCAAACCAAAAAAAAAAACAAAACCAAACAAAAAAAAAAAAAAAAAAAAAAAAAGGGATAAGACAGGAACAAATAATTCAAAGTAGAAAACCTTAAACAACTAGTAAATATATTAAAAGATGTTCAATGTCAACAATAAAAAGTGCAAATTAAAGCAAACCCTTGAAGAGTATACAAACTAGAATACATTTTTTAAGTCTAACAATATCAGTGTTTCCTAAGTAATAGAGAAATGAGAATTCTCTTACATTTCCAGGACAGAAAAATTTGGTATAATCACTTCTGTTGAGCAATTTGGCAATACTTAGTGAAATCAGATATTCTCTTCAATACAGACCAATAATTCCATCCAATTATACAGTACAAGAGCCAAAGGAACCCATAGGTGTACAAAATATTTGTAAAAAAAGTATTCACAGCAGCACTGTTAAAAAGGAAAAATAAAAAGGAACCTACCTTTGTTCTAAAATTGATTAAGTTTGCAAGTTCAAAATATTCAGTACTTCAGCCTAATAAGCACAAGCTAGGGATGATGAGACAAGCTTGTAAAAAGCAGCACTTCAGAGACAGCTGCAGAAGGATCAGGAGCTAAATGTCACCAGGTGAGATCCTGTGTCAAAAGAAGTAAATAAGTAAGTTCTAAAAATCACTGAATTCCAGCAGTACCCCCACTCCAATGACCCACAGGGAGTTACTGAATTGGAAGGCAAGACTTTTTTTTTCCCACTTTATGTGTATGAGTGTATTGTCTGCATGCATGCATGTAAGTACATCCATGTTGTACAATGTCACCAGAGATCAGAGAGGGCATTGGATCCCCTGGAACTGGAGTTATTAGCCGACATATGGGTGCTGGGACTCAAACCCTGGTCCTCTGCAAGAGCAGCCAGTGCTCTTAATTGCTGAGCCATCTCTCCAGCCTAAGGCTTTTTATTTCTTAAACTTTATTTGCATTTATTTTATGCTCAATTTCTCCCCATGCCATAAGGTTGTTTTTCTTCAGTTTGTTCTGGGGTATCTTTTTCCTCTGTATAACTTCCTCTTCTAATTTAGGAACAATTTATTCCTTTTCAGTGAGGATCATCTCAATGAAAGAGGAGCCCTCATGAAAGTCCAACAGCACATATTGGGTGCTTTGTCCACCTGGACGTGTTCATTGACTAGAGATCTACATATAAACCCTGAGTTCACTGTTGCCCTATATTTTTAAGCATATGCAGCAAAAATTCAGCACTCTTTTGGGGCCACCAACCCTGTGTCCAGCCCACTCTTTAGCCTGCCACACCTCCCAAAGCCACTATCACACTGCCAGAACAGTACCAACTGTTTCTTTGGAGTGACACCTTCCAGGTATCTGGTGGCTTTTTGAGTAGGCATACTCTTGGCAGTGTGCGCAATTTCACAGGCAGTGGTTCCCATTGATCAAGTTATTTAAAAGGTGGCTGCTGAGAATGTCTTAATCTTCATGGAAAGACAAGGCTTTTAAAGAAGTGATTAAGTTAAAACAAGGTCATTATTGTAGGCCCTAATCCAGTCTGACTGATATCCTTAAAAGAAATACTGGAGATGCTGGCATGCCCACCAAACCAAGAATCATATGAGCAAGAATGACGATCTGCAAATCAAGAAGGCCTCAGAAGAAAACAGGGAAGTTTGTTTTGTGATTGGGAACTTCCAGTGTCTAAAACTGGGAAAAAAAAAAAAAAAAAAAAAAAATCTGGTCTTTTAGCCACCCTAGTTGTATTATTTCATTATGACAGGCCTTCCAAACAAGTGGTCTCAAATAAAAGTGGTCTCAAACTGTATAGTAGCTGAGAAAAGGCATTACCTAGTCTACATAAGTGTCAAGCCTTTGGATTTTCTTACAGCAACACAAAGTGGACTAAATCTCTGTTGTAAGCCAGTAAGGCTTCCTTGGCTCTCTCTTGCTCCTACTTCTTGTTCTTTCATCCCTCTAACCATGTGATGATGCTCTCCACCATGCTATGTTGAACCAAAGGCCTTCACCAGATATAGCAACTCAACACCGAACATTCCAGTCTCTAAAACTGAGAGGATAGGCCTCTTTTCTTTATAAATTACTCATCTGTGGCATTCTGCAATAGCAGCCTGAAAGACTAAGATGACAGATAAAGTGCTACCACAGACAGTATTTTCCAAAAATTACCACAGCAATATTTTGAGTCTCACATATCCTTCTAATAACCTGCTATTGTTTCATGTAGACATATAATTTCCCCTCCAACTTAAGAAAAACAGGCCTTTCTATCAAAGTATAAAGTAGCTTAAAAGTCTGCGTCTTCTGTAAGAAGGCAAGATTAGGTCTCACTTCTCTCCTCTCCCTCTAACTCTTACCCCAGGCCACATGTAGATGTATTAACAGACCCAACCTCCACATGTGTACATGCAAGCCTTCACCTTTGAGGCATGCCAACTGAGCAAAAAGAATTATACCATATGAACCCTTCAAAGTTGCAGGCTCATGAGCAAACTATACATTATCATTGCTGCAGACTACCAGTTTTGTAGAATTTGTCAAGTAGTAAGAAATAACCAAAATTAACATCTTGAATTCTAATTCACAGTAAGTTAAAAACCTCAATGTGATTATCCCATGTAAACATTAATAACCTTTAGCAGTTCTCATTTTGAATAATAAGTTACTCCTTTGATTTATGGTTGGTCTCTGATGATTAGCACCTTTAGGAGTACTTGATGATCCCTTTAGAAACCATACATTTTGGGGCTGGAGAGATGACTCAGAGGTTGAGAGCACTGGCTGCTCTTTCAGAGGACCCAGGTTTGGTTCCCAGTATCCACATGACAGCTAACAACCATCCACAACTCCAGTTTCAGTGGATCCAACAGTCTCTTCTGACCTCCATGGGCACTGCCTGACACGGGTACACTTACATACACGCAGGCAATACACTCATGCACATAAAATAAAAATAATAAATAAAATATTTTAGAAACTATACATTTTATTCAAAGAAAGCATCACTTCAAAAGTTAATGTTACCATTTCAAGGATAAGGCCTAAGCAAAAATACCAAGAAACTTACCTCCTAAAAGACAAAATCATCATACCTATTATCTTAATAGGTGTGATGAATTTTTTTTTTTTCCTGCAGCTGTGATAAAATACTTAGGCAACTTAAGGGAGAAAAAGTATATATTATCTCTAGAGTTCAAGGTGCAGTCCATCAGGGTTTTCTGGTAGGAGTTCCATGTGGCTGGTCATATCATGTCCCCAACTCGCCTTCTCTACTCTTCCACAGCCCAGGTACCACTCACAACTAAGATGGGTCTTACCATATCAGTTAATATAATCAAGGTAATTCCCAATAGGCACACACAGAAGCTCATCTCCCAGGTGATTACAAATTTTGTGAAGCTGAAAGTTAACGATAACCACCACACAAAAGGCACATAGAGGAAGCTGTCCTCAATTACCAATGCTCCCTAAAGTAAAATGTTTCCACAAAATATTTTAATACATAGAGAATATAAATTAAAATCGTACAGGAAAAAAAAATCCACAGATTGGCTGAAGAAGAGTATCACACTGTGTGTATGATGCAAATATCTGTTCTCTATAGATTCGCCTACCTTTTTAGGCCAGTGGATTGTTTATTGCTGTTTTGACCTTACGTAATTTTTCCATGTGGTACATACACAATGGAATATTACTCAACTGTAAAGAAAAATAAAATCATAAAATTTGAAGGTGAATGGATGGAACTAGAAGAAATTATACTAAGTGACCCAGGCCTAGAAAGACAAATTTTGATGCAAATTTTCTCATATGTGAATCTTAGCTTTGAATCTTTGGTTTTGTATGTTTAACCTGTAGTACATATGGAAGTCAGGAAACAAGAAGTAGGTCCCTGGAGGTGGACACCTTAAGAGAGGGGACACCTTAAGAGAGGTAAGATAGTAAAATACAGGCAAAATGAAATTAGAGAAGGGAAATACTAAAGGCAGAAAGATTCAAACATGAACAAGGGTAGAGGATGGAGAGGGAATGAGGTGTTGGCCTATGACAAACGAAATGAAGGATCCATTAAAAACCTCTATGGAAATGTAGGATCTTCCAACCTAAGGAAAAAAAATTCAATTAGAGAGAGGAATAGAACATAGGTGACAGGAAAGGAGAGGGGGAAATACTCAGGATTAAAAGTTTAAATGAGGATGGGAGTCTGGGGAGAGGACAAGAGAGGGGGATGGGGTGGATTAGCCATAACTAAAGATACATGAAGTCTTATGGAAATCCACTAGTTTACAGGCCAATTTTAAAAACATATTTTTAATTTTTATTTATTATTTTTATTTTGTGTGTATGAGTGTATTGCCTACACATATGTAAGTGTACCCAAGTCATACAACGCCCACAGAGCTCAGAAGAAGGCATAGGATCTCCTCAAACTGGAGTTAATGAGGGTTGTTAACTGCCATATGGGTGCTGGGATCCAAACCTGGGTCCTCTCCAAGAGTAGCTAGTGCTAGTAACCGCTGAGCCATCTCTCCAGTCCCTAAAAACACATTTTAAAAAAGAGAGTTTGTTCAGGAGTGCCCTTGTATGGATGGACAATGCTGTTCCCAGAAGACCTGGGTCATTAAATTAAAAATCTCAGTTCCAGGCTCAGGGTATTTCCCTATGAGTTACTTACTGGTCAAGGAGGCCCCAGAGGCACCCAAATTTGCTATTATAGACTATAGCCATTCCTCTTGGCTAACCACCATAGATAGACAATAAGACCCTCTGAACTTTAGATGTAGAGAAATCAACCTCAAACTGACCAAGAAACTCTTTCTTTTCTGGCTGGTTTACATAGTGCCAGCAGGAAATATGTAAACTACTAAAAGAATTCAATGGTCATACCCAGCACTGGACCCTGCATGTTACAATACTGACCTGCTAACAAGATGTGCCTAGCTGATGCAATGGTGGCATGATGGTTATAGAGTAACCAACACAGTTTAGCTATGAGGATTGTTCTATAGGAAGGATTTCATGCCTGGTACTGTAATCCTGGCCATAAATCTGTAACTAGGGAAATTATAGGTCCTAGCAGGGAAACTACTGTTACTGTTTTGCTAAATGATCATACTGAAAGCTGCACTGTAAATATTTATATTCATATCCATAGGCATGGGCTATTCTCAACCTTTGTAGAGAAGCTTCTTATTGCAGTGTGTAGTACTCAATGCACAGACTCATAACTGGCCAAAGTGCCAAGTATAAATAACTGAATGGGTCATCTCTGTCACGCTCTTACCATCCAAGGCTGAGGGACATCTGAGAAATGGGGAGGCAGAAAGAATGTAGGAGCCAATGAATGGGAAGGAGAGCTGTGAAATGCTGAGTTCTGGACATGACATGGCTATTGCATACATCAAATCACATCAGTTATAATTACCACACAAGATCAAGCCAGTCAAGATTCCAACATGGATGGAAGAGAGGCCCCAGAGGCTACTGGCAGTTGAGATCAACTACTATTTGGCAGGTGATGGCTGCTGAGGGAAAGAGTGTCACTCTTCTTTGGAGATGTGGCAGCTGCTAGGCTACCTATGCCCCAATGGATGGCAAAACACCCATA